ATCAATATATATATATTTTGGTATAAACATCAATATATATATATTTTATGAAATTTTTTTTTAATTTAAGGTTATTTAATATTTTTTTCGTCTTCTTCTCTTTTTACTTCTTTGTTTTATTATCGTTTAATTTAGCTTGAATAATATGAAGAAATTCGAAGCAAAATACATATGAAAACAAACGAGAATTATTATAATATATAGAATTATTCTTTACAAGAAAAACAAAACTATAGATTCAAAGACTTTATATCGATGTTTCATTTAATATAGATGTAACTTAATAAAAATAACAAACACATATACATATGTATTTTTATTATATAAAAGAATAAAAGTATATCATGTAATAAAATAATATATGACACATTCGAGGTATACGATATTTGAACATTGGTAGAAACTAGTAGTTACTTAATAATCTATTATCTAATCTAATTTAATAAAATTGATTGCTAAATACGATATTAGATGAATATTTTATATATAGAACAAGTTGTCTGATTTAGAAAAAATAATAATATTAACATAAGGAACATTAACAATTGTTCTATCTTTTTAGTAGCTTTAGCTTTTCTTCTAAATTTTATATGTCATTCATATAAGCGTAAATTCAGAATATTTCAATTTTTCAAAATATATTAATATTATACTAATTTTTTTTCTATCTAGTTATATGGATACCTAGATCCATATGGCTATTCGTCACTTTTACCAAACGAAAGATCAAAAGTTGAACGATTTTTGAAACAAAAATATAAAGATCAAACTAAATCTCAAGCACCAACAACAACAACAACAACAGCATCTTCATCTACATCTACTTCATCTACAACATCAACAAGTGGATATTCATCTGTTCAAAAACCAACTCTTTTAGAAAAATTTCTTAAATCAGTTGGAAAATCTGTACCATCTCGAAATCTTGTTGCAAAAACAATATCAGAAGAAATTGGTCTGTATGGTAACTTATGCAAATCTGAACCATTACAAGATTGTGTTACATTTTGGCGTAATCATGGACAAAAAATGCCAATATTAAAAACTATGGCTCAACAATATTTGGCTACTCCTGGGACGAGTGTACCGTCCGAGTCAGCTTTTAGTACTTCTTCCTATATAGGAAGAAAAGAGAGATCTAGATTAAGTCCAGAAAATCTTTGTTACACTGTATTTTTACAGGATAAACTACGATCATCTTAACTGTATAGTCATCAATGTTTTTATGATTTACTCATTGCATTTACCCAGTCATTTGTATTATAATGTATTTAATTATGTAGCTAGTCATGTATATTCATTTAATTTATCTTTATTTAATTATTACATTGTTTATTGAGTGATCTTCATATTATGATGTATTCAATTACATATTTATTTATATATGTTATTTTAATTACAGTTCATATGATCAATACAGTATACTATTTATGCAATTGTTAGATATACATTAATGTATTTTATATTTATTATTTATTATTTATTATTACAATTAATTACTTTCGTGCTGTTATTTCATCATTATTCTAAACTCATTTGACGAAAAAAAATACTTATATATAATATATAATTCATATCCTCGTGGTTTTATTCAACATTACTTGACTTATTATAGCAATTACTGATATTATTTTCTACTTCTTACTGTATATTGTGTATAAAATTAAAAAAATAAAAGTTAACATAGCTTGATCACATACAAATTAATAAAAATACAATTTCTTATTGTCATTATTTACCATTTTTATATCACTAAAGCTAGCTAAAGAAAGATTTTTAAAACATTAGTTCTTAGCGAAACAGTCTATAAATTAAAATCTTCATTTTGTACACTTCTTTTCCGCAAGTTGATGTATCATTCATTTCTGTCATATGTATATGTTATGTGATTAGTTTTTACTTCAATAAAGTCGAGTCTCTCTTTAGCATAATCAAGTCTCATCAGTCTTTTTAAATTAGCACACATGGTATTAGAAATAAAAATTATCTATTTCTTTTAAAGAAAAAGGTAAATCTCGAAATAAACATCTCATTAAAAGTGTTACATCTTATGTTTTATTATGAACAATAAACTAACAACTAAATACAAAATATAAAACTGATTTGGATAACTTATAGTACGTACGCAGTCCGTCGCCATGCATAGAGATCTTCTACTGATTTCGGCACTATTTCTATAATAATTTTTAAGAATTCTCATAGAACGATCAGTCATATGAAAAGTATATATCAACAACGTAGATACAGTCTATAAATAAACATAGTACAATCAACTAATGTCTTTTAGTTAACAACTAAAAGATAAATCTAAATGCCCTTGATACGTTCGAATATGAGAACAGGTGATATAAACTAAAACATTCTAATAATGACTCAAATCACTCCAGACTCATTGAAATAATAGAAAAGTATATGAATAGCCAAGATTAATATTTATCTACTCTATT